GGGCAACGGGCAACAGTGGACATGGGGGGGTATTGGGCGTGCACGGGCTAGGGCTTGGGGCCGCATCGCGACTCGGGTTGCACTCGGTGCTTCAAGTCATGACCGACAGGGGGCGAAATCTAGGCATTGCGGGGGCCGACCGTCGCATGTGTTTGAAAGTTGGCGACGGCAAGCTGCTCACGGCCGAGAGTTGTACCCCCATGATGGGTGCGGTTTCGGAGGAGATGAACAGCACGAGGTTCACTCATCGGCACGCTCAGGTTGAGACATCGCCAGGCTACGACATACCACCAATGGATCGGCCTAGACGGTGCACGGACCACTCGGACCCCATTAAATTGGAACGAGCTGCGATTGCGCTCGGCCTTGCCTACGCTGCATACAGGGTGCTGGAACGAGGCGCGGCGATGGCGTATTCCTTCCAGCCCGATATGCGTCCCTGCTGTTTTCTAGTCCCATCTGCGTACAAGCGGGACGGCATCGCGGCCCCGTGCACCACAACAATGCGACATGATGATAACCGCGAGCTCGAGCTAGTAGTGGACCGCCCAATCTCGCCAGTCTTCCTGTCCACTCTCATTGGCGACGCGATGGCCAAGGCCATCGAGGAGGCGGCTGGGGCGGTCGTTCCAGCCGAAGCCGAACTTGAGGGGGGGCGGCGGCGTAAGCGCAAAGCTTTGCCGACCATCACAGTTTACAAATGCCGTCTTTTATGGTTTGAGGTCCCTCGGGCATGGCTCTTTCTTCGGGATGCGGAAGCAGTAGAATTGCAGATCCCCAAGAGATCCGCAGCGCCCAAGCGGGCGCGAGGGGCCGATCCTGAGGCGCCCGCCATCGAGGACCATAGTGCACCCCCCGCTGGCGGTGAAGGTCCAGATGAGGACGCCAGGGCTTCGCATAACACACCCGTATGGGCCTCCACGGGGCGTTGGGGGTCGAGGGTCGAGGGGGGTCGCGGGGCCGCGGGCGGAGCGTTCGTTTGTGGTGGGCGGTCTTAAAGGCCCTTGTGGGCCCAATCTTGATCCCGCTGGCGTCTTGGATTACTCTTGGGTCAGCCCGCCAGGATGGGCCAGGTGATGGCGGCGCCGGCGATGCTGTCGACAGCGACGCTGACGACTTTGACTTTGGGGATGACGTGTTGGAAGAGATCCTGGGTGAGATGCTGGAGCGCGATGGCTTTTCAGGCTTCGGCGCGCACTCTGGCCCTGGCTTAGACGACAGCGCCGAGGATGGATCGGCCAACGAGAGGCCCTGGGGCCACAGTAATGTCGTCAAACCCTGCACACACACGTCCTACACAGTGCGCGTGTGTCCGCGTGGTGAGCAATGCGTGGGCTGGCGTGCGGTGAGCGTGTGACAGGGGCGTGACAAGCGTGATGCACGCGCGTTGTAAGTTGCGTCTTGGGGGTTTTGGCGGGGGCGGGGGCCTTTCTGTTGAGTCGGAGGCGAAGTTACGATGCGGACCTGTACAATGAAAGTGAGGGTGATGAAGTTGCTGGTCCGTGCGGTTCTGAGCCCGAACCCGACACCGCATTCCTCTCTGATCACGGCCTCCTTGAACGCCTCGCCCAGCACCCGTTGCAGTTCATGGGTGGGCCCGACAAAACGAAAGTCATGGCATTGGTTCAGCAGGCGGGCAATGAGTTGTATCGAACCCCACCCCCATCCCACCCCCTCAGCGGCTATTCATTCGCTCTCCCTGTCCGCCTCACCCCCTCCCCCTGCCCCGCTCACGGACAAGACATGCGAGAGTTCTGCGTTTCGCTCCGCTGGCCCTGGGTTCCCACTTCGAGGCGTCGTGTGTGTAAGCATTGTGCTTGCGATCGTGAAGGAGGCGCTGCAGGTCAGAGGAGAGCGTAATGAAAGGCCCTCTAGAACCATTGCTTGGGGGCCTGCCCTTACCTCTCATCTCTCCCGCAAGGGGCGCGTCGATGGAGCAGATGCCGTCGCTGACGCGCTCCACCAAGCTTCGATGCAGCCACCGTGCGATAGCCTTTCGTACGGTGAGGTTTCTTTAATTCGGGTCGGCGACCGAGCTCTGTACATTCAGTGGACGAATGTTGAGGGGTCCGTGGGGCGACAGGTGTCGTTGTGGCCGAATGGCCAAATCAAAGCAATAGTGAATGCACGTGTGAAACCAGAGTCCGTTGTTGGGTTTGTTTTCATTGTGAAGCGGGTACCGATCATCATGGCAAAGGCCAAGAGGTCGGAGGGCAGCCCTTTTATGCCCAAGTGGTGTCAGACTTTGATGCTGCGTGAGAATGCTCGCATGTGGAATGGCCCCATAGTCCCCTTGCCGAACGATGCCTGTGTCATGTGCAAGGCTTGCCGCTCTGTCCCCGCTTGCCTCCCGCCCGATAAGATGTTGCCAGAAGGCGACGAGCTGTTCCGATGCGGGGTTTGCTTGCAACCGTGGCATTTGCTTTGCGTGCTAGTGTGCAGCACGACTCGGGACCCAACGCAAGGCGAGTGGTTTTCTTGTTCGTTGTGCGCTGGCAGGTAACCCTATGCATAGCGATGCTGTATGTGCGCCACTGTGCACAGCAAAGACGTTTCAAACTCGCATGCGCCATCCTCTGGCGGCATTGTAAACTGTTGGCATTGAACCTTGAGCCTTGGACCGCCAGCCATGCGCATGATAATGATGATGGTGACCGCATAACATTGACAGGATATGGCGGTCCATAGTGGTAGGGTCGGCGTGCACCGATACATGCGGCTCCTCGTACATGCGTATGTGACTGCAAGTGAGCCTGTGATGGCACATTCCTACACGAATGCACGCGTGCACTGCTGGTTTAGTGTTGGGAATGGCGCCTGCACGCACGCTAAACACATCGAAATGCACAAGCGAACGCACGCAAAGCACGACATCAACGACCAACGAAAACTGCAGGGAGTCTTCATCGCATGCAAACGCAGGCGCACAGCATGTACATTGAGGATCATGCGCAACGTATGGATGAGCGTTTTCATTATATGCAGTTGTGAGTTAACTGTTTTCCTGCGCTCCTGCGCGTGGTTCGACGGATTACCTCGTGTCCTATACAATCGTTCAAGCTGCGTCGGGTCGCTTCGTGTTTGTATGTTTTTGTTTGTTGGTGTAAAGAAATGTTTGGTGTTTTGGTTGGTATCGTTTGACAAAAAAACATGTCGCCCCTCGTGTGTTCCAGTTTGGCGCTGGTGTTGTAGGTGTGGTTTCTGCGTTCTGACGGTGGTTTCCAATTGCGGCAGAGTTTGTTGCAGCGCTGGAGGTCACAGCGTAGCTGAGGCAATTCAGCTGGTGGATTGTCGGCCAGACCAGATGACCAAGGCAATTGCGCTAGTGACAGTCGGCAAGACAGCAGACTAGAGCATATGCGCTGGTGAGCAGCCCAAGCTGGCGGCCCACCAGCGCAAATGCTCTAGTCGGGTGGCTGACCGACGGCGACTAGCGCAAATGTCTTGGCCAGCGGCGCTGACGGACGGCTCACCAGCGCAAATGCCTTAGTCTGGTGGCAGGTTGGCAGCGCCTAGCGCAAATGCCTTAGTCGGCTGGTCGGTGGGAACGGTTCCAGCGCAAATGCGTTAGTAGATGCACCGCCAGCGCGGCAATTGCGCTGGCAGGCCGCCGCCAACCAACGCGCTGACCTCAGCATTTGCGCTAGTCGCGGCAGAGCAGCCGCCAGACTGAAGCATTTGCGCTGGCGGCCTCGCGCTGACGGGCGCACTGCCAACGCAATTGCGCTGGTCACTGGTCAGGCTGGGCGACCGCGAGTGACGCAAATGCGCTGGGCAGCGCATCAGCGCCCGACTCACCAGAGCAATTGCGTCAGCTTCTGGCGGCGGCCAACGCAATTGCGCTGGTAGCCCTCACATGGCCAGCTGACCAAGGCATTTGCGCTAGACGCGGTCGCCCAGAAGCCCCACTAGAGCAATTGAGCTAGTGGGGTGTCGGCAGGGGCGCAGCTGACCAGGGCATTTGCGCCAGTCGCGGTTGACCAACGAGCTGGCTGGAGCAATTGCGTTGGTGGGCTGCTCAAGTGGGCTGCCTACTAGCGCAAATGCACTAGTATCGCGGCTGGCCAGCAGCGTCTAGCGCAATTGCGTTGGGCAGCTGGTTAGCAACAGGGCCACCAGCGGAAATGTGATGGTAGACTTCAGCAGAATAATGATTACAGCCCGCTGTGTTATTGTAGCGGCGCATGTCGCATGCAGTTACGTGCGTGCGTGGAACAGTGGAGTCATACGCGATCAAACGAAAACAAAAAAAGCATACGCAACAACAAAAAAAAACAACACGAAATGCGCACCTGCACGATGATACTCATCACGTGTACCTACAATGCGTGCAGAAATGGCCCAAGTGCCACGCCGTCGGTCTCGACCATCCCACCCCAAACTGCCCCCAACCCCAACGTGCCTGACGTGCCTGGGTCGTGGGTCAACGGCCCCTGGGACTGGGACGTTCGAGTGCATCTAGTCGGGGGCCGCTACCAGGCTCCAGAGATGCAACCCTCTCTCGTTCCTTCACTCCCTCCGTCTCTCCATCTCCATCTCCCTCTATTTATGTTTTTGTTCTCCCTCTCTCTCTCTCTTTCTTCCCCCTCCTCCCTCCGACTCCCTCCTGGTTGCCTTCGCTGTCTTTGGGCGGAAGTCGAAGCCCCTCGCTAATGTTTTGGGGTAGCCTCCTGGGTTCCCGCGCGAGGCCTCGTTATGGAGCAGGGTTCGCTCGGTTCACAGTCTCTCTGTTTGGGCCGATCTGCGTGGCAATAGGGTCAACCGCCACCCCCTCCCCCCCAAATCCCACAGTGACATGTGACGCCGTCTTTGGGCGGTCGTGGACCGAGGCTGGCACCGATCCGGCCTACCCATCCAGCGGTGAAGCCGCTTTGGCCCGAGAGTCCTCCGCGGGGTGAGAGAGGTCTCGGGCCCGCGGCTCGCTGCCAGCCAGACGCGCGCCACACCGCGGCTGCGGCCGCTGCAGCGCTGCCGCTGCGATGGCGCTCGTCTCGGCCCAGGCGCACCAGGTTGCCAGGGTAGAGTGCAACCTCTCGCGTCAGGGCGTGGAGGCCCTCGTTCGAAAGGCCAGAGCAAGGTGCACCGACGAGTGGGACAACAGCGGGAAGTACACCCACGTCAGGGACAGGTGGGGCAGCGACATGACGATGTTTGAGCTGCGGGTCATCGCGGAGAGGTTGTACTGCGACGACGATGATGCGACGATCACGCTGGTGGGCCCTGACGGCTGGACGTGCAAGAGGCATTGGTCGGGTCAGTGCGGCGTCGGCCCAACAGCGCTGGGAGCGAGACTTGGTGGGCGCCTGCTTTTAGAAAGTGGGCGCTCGTCGAGTCGCGCCGCCGGCGCGTTGGGCGACGCCGCATTGCTCAATCACACAGGCATCGGTTTAACGCTCTTCGCGGCGATGCAGGCTCGGTGGCCAGCAGGCAAAAGTCGCTGGAGACAGTTGGGTTGCTGTTGGGGCTGCGGGAGTCGCCAGACTTCGTGGAGGAAGAGAAGGGCGTCTACTCACTTCTTGACTGGGGGACGCTTCTGGCAGACGCTGGCAAGAAGGCGTGGGAGGCCGACGTGAAGAAGGAGAACAGGTGCATCCAGCTCATGGCCAGCACCGTGCTCAAGGGGTGCAAGAGGTACGCGAGAGCGACGCCCGACGACGTCCTGAACTTCCTCATCGAGTACAAGAACGTGGTGAACGGCCAGGTGACAGAGATCACCATCATCCAGATCTGGGAGTCCACGCGCAACGTGGAACTCCGCTTCAAGCAGCGGGCCAAGCAGATGGGTTGGGGAGAAATGGCATGGGACAAGCTGTTGGACTTGAAGTACGAGACGGCCGTGTCGTATTATCCTGGGAGGTGGGCGAACCCGACGAGCTACAAGGTGTCCTCCAGCTTCTACCGTTTGTCGCAGCTTCGCATCATCGATGCCGATTGGAGGGGCGATCATTTGGAGAAGGCCGAGCAGATCAGCGTGTGGGATGCCACGGTCAAGGTCGTGAACGGCGAGTGCGACTTGCAGCGCCCCGCAGCTCGCAAGACCGAGACGATCTTCCAGTCAGTCAACGCGTGCTTCGTGGTCCTCAAGGTATGGGGTGCGCCAACGGCCCATATGCAGGGTTCACGCCGAGTTAGCTTCGGGCCAGGGCCTGGTCGATCCTGGGCCCTGGCCCTGATCGGCTCGACTTGGCGTGGATCGCTGCGTGCTGGGTCGTTGGCGCCCTTCTAACAGGCAGACTACCCTGAGCTCGTGTCCGATTGCGTCCGGATGGTGGTGCCGATTCCACAGGATGCCAAACCTCTTGGTCAGTACAAGGGGCTCAGCCCAGGATTGCAGAACCCAGGGTTCAAGACGCAGATCCGCGAGCCCATGGTGAGGAGGCTCCTGCAGGACATGTCCAACAGCGAAGCATTCAAGCAGCTCGCGGACCCAGACTCCAAGCTGCACAAGGACCTGAAACTGAAGGAGGCCAAGGCGATGTTGAAGGCAACCAAGGCGGCGGCTCGCGAGAAGGAGAAAGCTGAGAAGAAGAAGAAGTCTGAGGCGGCAAAGGCCGCGGCGAGTTTGGTGACTAAGTCGGGCCCACGCTGGAGGAGACAGAAGGGCGCAGCAAAAGAGAAGTCTGCCTCACGTCCAGCGTCGAGCCTGAAGGCTGCCGCGGCGACGAAGTTCCGCAAGCAGCAGCAGCAGAAGCTCAAGGCGCAGCAGCCGCAGATCAAGGACGTGGAGGTCACAGAGGTACAGAACGGCATGGAGACGTGGAAGTTCGTGGACTTCGCCAGGAGTTTGGTCGGCGAGATCGAGCGGATCAGCCCCGACTCGAAGGACTTGTGCCGCCAGGTGTGGGTCTTGGCGTTGTTCGGCGCGATCGCGGGCTCCGTCCCCTTGTACGGCGCCAACGACAAGGTCGTGGACTGCGTGGATTTCACGGCGTTCGCCAAGAGGGCGAAGGCCAGTGCGCCTCCTCCTCCAGCTCCTCCGCTTCCTCCTCCTCCCCCACCGCCACCTTCTCCTTCTCCTCCTTCTCATCCTTCCCCTCCTTACCCCACTGGCACCCTCATGCTCCTCACCCTCGTCCTACGACAACTACTGTTAGCGTTGCTCTGCTCACCGCTCACCCTCACCCCCGTTCTCCCTCCTCCTCCTCCCTCCTCCTCCTCCTTCTCCTCATCTTTTTCCCCTTCCCCAGCTTCCCCGCCCATATGTCCAACTTCGTATCTCTCTCTCTCGCGCTCTCTCTCTATTCCTTTGGCTCAGCCTGTCTCCCACCCTCTCTCTTTATCTAACACTAGTTCTAGCTCTCTCATTATATCATTGCCAATAGCTCATGGTTTCCTTTCTCTCGCTCTCTCTCCCTCCTCGTCGCTCTCTACCGTTCCCCTCTCCCTCCCCCTCTATCTCTACCGTGCCCTTCTCCCTCCCTCCACATCCCTCCCCTCCATCTCCCTCCCTCTCCCTCCCACTCCCTCTCGCTCTCTCTCTCTCTCTCTCTCTCTCTCTCTCTCTCTCTCTCTCTCTCTCTCTCTCTCTCTCTCTCTCTCTCTCTCTCTCTCCCTCTCTCGGCCTTTTTATCAATATTTCCAGGCCATCTTCTCGACTCGACCCACCCCACCGTTACCTTCCTCTCACCCTCCCTCACTCGCCCTCTCCATCTCTCTCGTCTCTGGCTGTTCTCGCCCTTTTGCAACCTCAATCCTCCGTCCACCGCCCGCAATATTCTCCCTTCCGAATCTCCTTGCTTGCATCAATGCACGTCCCATCCCCTATCTGGAATTAGCTGGAACTCTAACTCTCCTCCCAATTCCCCCCCTCCTCGCCACCCATGGCCCCTTCCCGACTTCGCCCTGCCGCCCCGCCCGCCGCAGGCGGTGGCATACAAGGAGGCGCGCAAGCTGAGGGCCAGGCCGAGCGATTCGGACTGCTGCGACTTCGATATGCTGCCGCTGAAAAACACGCCCGCCCCTCCGAAGATGACGGCTGAGGACAGATTGGAGAGGGCTCCCCTGAGGGGAGGGACGGGAAGAAGGAGAAGGAGGAGGAGGAGGAGAAACAAGGAGGAAGAGACAACGAGGACGGGGGAGGTTGGGGAAGAGGACGAGGAGGGGAAGGCTGAAGCGAAGGGAGGATGAGGAGGAGAACGAGGAGGAGGAGGAGGAAGAGGAGGGGGAGGATAATATGGAGGAGGAGGATGCGGAGGAGGAGGAGGAGGAGGATGATGATGATGCTGATGATGATGATGATGATGCTGATGCTGATGATGATGATGATGATGATGGTGGTGATGATGATGATGATGATGATGACGAGGAGGAGGAGGAGGATAAGGAGGGGGAGGAGGAGGAGGAGGAGGAGTCGAGGAGAAGGAGGAGGAGTAGGCGGAGGAGGAGGGGAGGAGAGGAGGAGGAGGAGGGGGGGAGGAGGATGAGGCTGGGGGAAGAGGAGGGGGGAGGAGGAGGAGGAGGAGGAGGAGGAGGAGGAGGGGAGATGAGGAAGGATGAGGCTGAGGATGAGAAGGGGAGGAGGAGGAGGAGGAGGAGGAGGAGGAGGAGGATGGATGAGGAGGACGACGCCGACGCCGACGACGAAGATGAGGATGAGAATGAAGAGGAGAAGGAGGAGACAGAGGAGGAGGTTGACGAGTATGAGGAAGAGCAGAAGGATCAGGAGGAGGAGTAGGGGGAGGAGGAGGATGAGGAGGAGGAGGTGGAGGAGGAGGATGAGGCGAATGATGAGAATACTGAGAGGGAGGGCACCGAGGAGGAGGATGAGGAGGAGGAGGAGGAGGAGGAGAAGAAGGAGGATGATGAGGAGGAGGAGGTGTAGGAGCAAGATGGGACGGTGGAGGAGTTGGAGGACCAGGATGAGAGGGAAAGGGAAGAGGAGGAGGATGAGGAGGACGCTCGCACCGAAGGGCTCACGGTGTAGCCATCGCCGCGCCCTCGAGCCGAGCGGCCGCGCGGGGCGCCCGCGGGGCCGCGCATGGACGAGGGCGAGGCCCTCGAGGCGCTTGCGCTCGCGCTGCCCAAGCAGCTGCCAGCAGGGGCGGTGCCCAAGCATCCGCTCTTGTCGCCAACGCAGCCAGCGGGGCCGCCGCCCGCGCACCTGCTGCCCCAGCAACACCAGCAGCAGCATGGGCAGCAGCACCAGCAGCAGCAGCACCAGGAGCAGCCGATTGTCGCACCACCGAAGTTTCACAGGCCGCTGCTGCGGCCGCGGCGCTCCACCGCCCCGCCTGCCAACAAGTTCGCCGATGCGGCCGCCTGCGTCGACGCCGGCGCGGCCAGCGACGTCGGCGCCGCCGCCGCCGCCGCCGAGGTCGCGGCCGACAGCGCCGCCGCCGACGCCGCGGCTGCCGCGGCTGCAGGGGCAGCGGGCGCCGAGGAGACAGGCGCTGACGCTGCTGACACTGACGGCGCTGATGACGCCGCTGACATCAGTGAGGAGGAGCGGGTCGCGGCCGCTGCCCTTGCCGCGGCCCGCGCCGCCTTGCAACGGACAGATGAGCTCCTCACTGGTGCCATCACGAACTACCGCACGCTGTGCGAGACAGAGGTCAGCACGCGAGACCTTCTCGAGCAGGCGGAGGCAGCCTACGACGCGGCCCACGAAGCGTACATGCAAGCATTCGAGGGCTGCAGGCTCGGGAGGGCCGACGGCGAGTCGGCAGTTGCGCGGCGCGAAGAGAGGTTCCGCGCGTACCACGCAGCGCGGGCTGCTTTGGCGGCGGTCCTCGACGAAGGACCACCCCAGGGCCAGAAAACGGCCAAGGGAGAGGATGAAGGAGGAAGGGGAAGAGGATTGGGGGACGGATGAGGAGGCGAACCAGTGAAGAGGAGGAGGAGGAGGAGGAGGAGGAGAAGGAGGAGGAAGAGGAGGCATGCTTATGCGAAGCCGTCGTCGTAGTCGCAGTCGTCGTCGTCGTCGTCGTCGTCGGCCTCGTTGTCGTCATCGTCGTCGTCGTCGTCGTCGTCGTCGTCGTCGTTGCATCGTCGCCAATGCCACCGCCGCCGCCTCTCCTCCTCCGTCTCCTCATCCTTCTCCTCCTCCTCCTCCTCCTGGACCTCCTCCTCCTCCTGGTCCTCCTCCTCCGCCACCTCTCCTATCACCCTCCCCCTCCTGCTCTTCTTCGTCCACCTTCTCATCCTGCTTGTCCCCCCTCCCTCCCCCTCTTCATCCTCATCGTCCCTCCACCTCTTCCTCCTCCTCCTTCTCCTCCTCCCTATCATGCGCATCCTCGCCCTCGTCAGTGCTTCCCTTCGGGCCTGCATCACGATCACCATCATCCACATCTGCATGCACAACCAGAATTTCGTCACCAACATCACGCCCCTCCGCTTCACCCAGAGACACAGCATTACCAGACCCACTACCACCATCATCTCCATCACCACCATCAGCATCACCATCACCAGCATAATCAGCATTATCATCATCACCATCACCATCATCAACAACGACAACATCAGCATCAACATTATCAACATTAACAATTTCAGCATCATCATCATCAATGTCAGCATCAGCATCATCCACGTTTCCATCAGCATCAGCATCATCGTCAGCATCAGCAACATAATCCTCAACCTCATCATCATCAGCATCGCCATCATCATCCCCATCCTCATCAGCATCATCATCACCATCAGCATCACCATCGTCCCCCTCGACATCATCAGCATCATCGTCACCAACATCACTATCGTCCTTACCGTCCTCAAACTCATTCTTCTCGTGTTACCCATCTCCAGCTCCATAATCGTCTTCGCCCAAGTCCTCGCACCAATCACGCGAATCGTCATCGGCGCCATTGCCACCAGCATCACCATATCATCCTGCAACACGCCCTCAACCTCAGTCTCATTAACGTCCCCATTGCCATCCTCATCCCCATCTTCATCCTCGTCCTGACCCCCATCATCCATATCACCATCACCATCCTCGTCCATTCCCTCATTATCATCCTCATCTCATCCTCATCCCCAACACCATCCGCATCCTCATCCTCAACAACATCCTATGCTTATCCCCCTTCCCATCGACATCCCGCATTCTCGACGCTTTCGCATCCCCGTCATCATCTTCATCATCATCGTCATCCCCCTTCTCGCCATGCTCTTGCTCCTCCCCCTCCTCCTCCTCCTCCTCCGTCTCGTCCTCCTCCTCCTACTCCTCAGCCTCCCTCTTCTCCTCCTCCTCTTCCTCCTCAGCCTTCCTCTCCTCCTCCCTCGCCTCCTCCGCCTCCTCCTCCTTATCCTCCATTGGTGGGGATACTAATGATGAGAGTGGCGTTGATGATGATGATGATGATGCTGATGATGATGATGATGATGATGATGATGATGATGGTGGTGATGGTGGTGGGGGTGGCGATGGCGGTGACGGCGACGATGGCGATGTAGATGATGCTGATGGTGAAGGAGGAGGAGGAGGATGAGGGGAGGAGGAGGAGGAGGAGGAGGAGGAGGCCAGATGGATGGGGAGGGCGCGGGGAGAGGAGGAGGAGGAGGAGGAGGAGAAGGGGGAGAAGGAGGAGGAGGAGGAGGAGGAGGAGGAGGAGGAGGAGGGGGGCCGGGGGGGAGAAGGGGAGGGGCAGGAAGAAGAGGATGATGCAGATGATGAGGCGGGCAGCTGGTGACGGTGATGGTGATGGTGATGGCGAGGATGCTGATGGCGATGGCACTGGCGATGGCGATGCGGGGGAAGAGGAGGAGGGGGGTGAGGAGTTGGATGCGGCGGGGGGGGGGGTGAGGGGAGGGTCGAGGAGGAGATGGAGGAGGATGACGAGGAAGAGGAGGATGAGCAGGTGGAGGAGGAGGAGGGAGGAGGAGGAGGAGGAAGAAGAGGGGGATGGGGAAGAGGATACGGAGAAGGGCGGGAAGCGGAGAGGCTTGAGGGGGACGAGAAGGAGGAGGAGGAGGAGGAGGAGGAGGAAGGAGGAGGGAGGCGGAGGATTGAAATGAGGATAAGGATGAGGATGAAGGAGGAGGAGGAGGAGGAGGAGGAGGAAGACGAGGAGGAGGAGGAGGAGGAAGGGGGGGAGGTGGCGACTGAGGAACAGGAGGAGGAGGATGAGGAGGGGGAGGAGAAGGAGGAGGAGGAGGGGGGATTGGGAGAAGTAGGCGGAGGAGGAAGAGGAGGAGGCGGAGGAGGAGGAATGCCGCCTAGAGGACGTTGAGGCGCTCGTCGAGACGGAGCTCAGCGACGCGCAGTCGCTGCTCACGTTCGTCGGGCAGAACCGCTTGGGCATGGACATCGAGCGGGGCCAGGAGCTGATGCAGGTGGTGACGGGCACGATGATGACGCTCCTGAGCAAGGTGACGGTGCTCGGCGGCCACGTGGAGTCGCAGGAGGTTGCGTGGAAGCTGCTCTCCACGGCGGCCCTCGACAAGATCGGGGAGACGGTGCCGCCAACGTGGGGCAAGGTGCTGAAGTCGTGCCAGAAGATCAAAAGCGAGGGCGTTGGCGAGTACGTCAACGGTGGCAGCCCGCACAAGGCGCTGATCGAGGGGGGCTTCACGGTGCAGCAGATGACGGCGTACAAGGCGGGCTTGCTCTTGAGCGTCGCGTCGCAACTGGGCAACATGGAGGTGAACATTGTGCCTCGAGGCACGGTGCCGTACGTGCCGCACGTGATCAAGCTCCACATCGACGAGCTGAAGGAGAAGCACTCGCTGCAACACGTGCTGCACGACGAGGCGCAGGTTGCGCAGATGCCGTTCGTGAAGTTGCGATCGGCATTCGAGATCAAGCAAGGCGAGGCGGCGGCGTTCAACACGATCGCGGAAGCCTGGGCGAAGCACGAGAACGGCCTGCACGTCCGCGCCGTGAGCCTCGGCATGGACAACTACTTCAGCGACGTGATCAAAGTCACGGACGAGCTGACGACGTGCACGAGGATCGGCCAGTGGCAGACGAAGGTGACGACGTCGCTCCGCCACCATCCACCATCTCCGTCCTCCTCCTCCTCCTCCTCCTCCTGGCCTCCTCCTCCTGCTGCTGCTGCTCCTACTCCGCCTCCTCCTCCTCGTCCTCCGCCTCATCCTCCTTCTCCTCTTCCTCCTTCACCTCCTCCCTACTCCCTCCCCCGCCCCCTTCCCCTCCCTCCCCTGTTTCAATCCACTCACCCACCCATCCATCACTCGTCCGTTCGCTCCCTCCCTCATCCTTCCTCCTCCTCCTCGGCCTCCTTCTCAACGATCTCGCACCCCTCCTCGCGCCCTTCCTCATCCACGCCTCCTCCCTCTCCTCCTTCGTGCCCCGTACTCTTGCTCGCTGTTCCTCCTTCTCGTCCTTCCCATTCCCATCTCCTCCATCGTCTCCTTCTTATCCAGTCCCCATCGCCCCGTCATCCTTCTCGTCCCCCTCCTCCCTATTGTCCTTCCTCCTCCACCGCCGCTCTCCCCTCCTCCTCGTTCTCCTCCTCCTCCTCCTCCTCCTCCGCCTCCTCCTCCTCCTCTTCCTCCTCCCCCCCTCCCCCGCCTCCCCCTTCCCGCCCGTTCCCTAAGGTGAAGGCGCTGCTCGGCGACGATGCTGCGCTCCAGATCGACCAGGGCGTCGCGGTCTTCCAGTCGAAGCGCACGGAGATGGTCGGCCGCATCCACGAGATCTACAGAGCCTCGCACCGCGAGCACGAGGAGGCGAAGAAGTGGTTCAACGGCGGTGGCTGCAGCGAGAAGGCGATGCAATTGCTCCTGGACGACATCCAGGCGGAGTCCGTCGCAGTGGTGGACCAGCCGGCGGCGCAGGCGCACGGCCCAGGCGGAGACGGCGGAGAGACGGTGGCGATGGATGGCGCTGAGCAGCAGCAGCAGCAGGAGGAGGCGGAGAAGGTCAAGACCCTCTTGAGAGTGCTCCAGCGGTCAAAGGCGGCGGACGAGATCGACAAGTTCGGACTGGACCACTTCTCGAGGAAGGAGTTGACGTGCCGCGTGCAGATCGAGCTCGACACCATGGCGAGGTCTGCCTACCTCAGCGCGAGCGGCGACGACGAGCTGATGGGCGACCTCGACAAGCTCGAGCTCAAGGAGGTCAGCACCGCGGCCAAGAAGCAGAAGGTGACCCTGCTGCGCACGGAGCCGATGTGCGACTCGAGCGTGGTGCTGAAGTTCTGGGGCAAGGCCACGGGGAGAGGGAGGATGGGGGTCCACGCCACCACCGCCACCAACAGGGGTGATGTCTGCAATTGCGTACACGATGGCATCGTGTACGCAATTGCAGACATCACCCCTGTGACGATGCGTCCCCGAGCGAGGGGGGCGACGCGGCCTAGAGTCTCGAGCTAGTCGTGGAAGCTGGGAAGTAGCGATGCCCCCTGATGGCGGTGGTGGCATTGCCACCCCTTCCCCCCCCTTCCCCCGACGGCCCCCCCCGAGGTAGTCAGCACGTCGGTGGCAAAGCTGATCAGACACTCGGACGTGCTGCCGCTGGTGTGCGAGAACGGCCCGAAGTTGTGGATCGACGGGTCGAACGTGCAGAACCCCAAGTGCGTGGACTACTGCGCAGCGTGGTCCATGAAGACGGCGACGCAGCAGCCAGCTGCGACGGAGACGGTGGCGCCGAAGAAAAAGGCCAAGAAGGACGAGAAGACCGTCACGCACGAGTTCGGCAGCGTGGAGCTCCCAGTGCAGGTGACCACGGCGAGCGGCCCCAAGACGTTCAAGTACAAGGTGCCCGTGCTGAAGGGCGTGAACTCGGAGCCAGCGCTGAGCCACGTCGGCGAGTGCTGCAAGCCCGAGTTCACGGACTGGGGCGACGAGGATAGCGACGCCGAGGACGGCGGCAAGCAGGACATCGGATGGAAAGCCATTGATGCAGATCCGACGGTCCGTGCTGAGTCGGCCAACGTCCGAGGTTTTGCGCATGCGAACTCAGGCGCAGCTTGAGGGCGCAGACGCAACTCCTCCGAGGCGGGCTGACTTGGCGCGGACTGTCGCATCTGTAGCAATGGCGCCTACTAGGACGGCAAGGGCAAGAAGAACAGCTCCTTCGTCCTCGGCTAGGCGGCGGAGGCGGTCGGCCTCCGCGCGCGGCGCGTGCCGCGGCCGCGGGCCGCGACGTCGTCGCCGACGTGGAGGAGGTGAAGAGAGGAGGAGGAGGAGGAGGAGGAGGAGGAGGAGGAGGAGGAGGAGCAGGAGGAGAATGAGGAGGAGGAGGAGGAGAGGAGGAGGGGGGAGGAGGAGGAGGAGGAGGAGGAGGAGGAGGAGGAGGAGGAGGGGGAGTAGGAGGAGGAGAGGAGGAGTAGGCGGATGAGGAGAGGATGAGAAAGATGATGAGGAGGAGGAGGAGGACGCGGGGGGGGGGGACAGGGTGGTGGATAGAGGAGGGGGGGGGGGCTGAGGATGCTACAGCTGATGGCGACGGTGGTGAAGGTGATGATGATGATGATGATGATGATGATGGTGATGATGATGATGATGATGATGCTGATGATGATGATGATGGTGATGATTATGATGATGATGATGAGGATGATGGTGATGGCGATGTATGGTGGTAATGGTGGTGGTGGCCCTTGGGGGAGATAGGCAAAGGATGGGGGGCATACCGATGATGAGGAGGAAAGCAGCTGAGACAGGAGGATATGGGCGAGTGCGGCGATGCAGATGAGCGGGAGGGAGGAATTATGAGGAGGAAGAGGGTGACAGGGAGGAGAATGCGGTAGAGGCGGGGAGGAGACGCGATGCACGGAGATAAATTTTTGAGGGGCGTGGGGCATGAACTACGGGGTAGGGCAGGCAGGGCGTAATTAGTAATCGGATGGAGATGGTGGACATGGGTAAAACCAGGTGGAGCTGGAGCAGGGTTAGCAACGTCGGCACTGGCACGAGCTGGTGTCGGATGAAGGCGCAGGGCAGTAGCATACGAATAACGAGGGCGAGGAGGAAGAGCAGATGAAGAGGATTAGAAGGATGATGGGGATGAAGCAAGTGGGGGGAGGAGGAGGCGGCGGTGGGATAAGGATAACGAAAATGAGGGTGATCAGGAGGAGGGGGAGGAGGAGGCGGCGGAGGAGGAGGCCGGACAGACGGCCGAGCGTGTTCGGGCCGCCTCGGGAGCGCGAGGGAGTCGCCTCGAGGGCGCGCTCTGGACAAACGCCCTCCCCTCCGATCTCATCTCTTCGTCCTTGCTGTCGGCGTCGCATCCGCTGCCATCGTCGTTGCCGTTGCCGCTTATGGTGCAATCGTTTCCGCGGATACCCCGCCCGACCACCGCGACCCCAGCAGGGTCTCCCAACGCCTAGCGCTCACGGAAAATGGGCACGGGCATAAGATACAGTGGGCCGCGGGCCGACAGAACAACGAAAACGCACATCACATTGAGACTTCCAAACATAATAAACAAGCTGCGCGTAGGGAACGATAATGCAACGCACGGTGGGGGCACCCACCAAACACAACCTTACTCACATGGTGTAGGTGAAAAAAACATTAGTACGACAACGCCGCCGACATAAAACAAAAACAAGGAGGCATGTGGGTGGCGTGGGTTCGGCGCAGGGCGGGGGAGGTCCAAGCCTTGCGTTTGTGGGGGCCTGCGCAAGTGCATTGGTGCGCCTTATCTCTTGCACACAGCTTTGTCACTCCTGGGGCCTGAGGGCTGGGTTTTTTGTGGAAGAATTCTTGTGGTCGGTCTTCCAATCTAGCTCAACTCCCCCTCAGCGTTCATCAGTGCATCTTCGCCAGCCAACCCCAACCTAGTTTGGCGAATCTTCCTGCAATCGCGTCGCTGTTCTCTGCCCCAGTTCTGCCAACCTCGGCACCCGTCCCCCTCACGTCAGGCGCGACACAGGACGCACTAGTACACCCTGGGCGATGCTTAAGAACACTTACGTTTTCGGCCAGAGTCTCGATTGTTCTTAATGTTCCAATGTGAATCCCAAGCTTTGAATGGAAATTCTGGGTTTTTATTCAAATCCTGAGACTATGAATTTCTTGACCCATGATTTCTAAAGCATTTCGCAGGGTGTACATGAGTTTTCTTGGGTTTCGAGGGTGTGCACCTTCTCGAATGTTCGTGGCACGAGGCGGGCCTCGCGAACTGGGGGGCCACATCCATGTACACGGCTGTGCGCTTGCGCGTCTTGCGTGGACATCCTCGTTTATCTCTTTGCCTTCGAATCGTAGATCTTCCGCCACCCCTCAGCACCACTTGTCTACGCCTCCTAGACTGGGTCGGAGTAGATGGGGTCGGATGATCGCGCCGCACCGCCGATGCATCGCTGATGCGGCCCGATGTGGAGCCCGATTTTCTCGACTTCGACGTCGCCGATGTATCGGCGATGCGGCGCGATCCCCCGACACCATCTACTCCGACCCCATCTAGGAGGCCCCTAACTTGGGCACCCTTTGCCGTCTGTTGCATTAAGATGTTGTGCCTTCCTCGTATCCGGGGATGCGTTGCACGTGTGCTGTGTACGGCGTGCCCGCTTCAGTATCCTTGCGATATCATTTGCACGGCTGCGCTGTTGTCGTTCTGACTCTTCGTTTCGGTGCTGCGTCGTAGCTGCTCTCTGCCGTTCCACGTACGTGCAGGAGGGCAGGAAGGGACCTCTGAACCTCGCGGCGTTGTTATTGGGGGGAGGCGGTTTCTCAAGACGGGGAGGATGGCGAGCTGGAGGAGGCGCAGGAGGGGCAGCAGGAGAAAAGATGCAGAGGATAACGACGGGGCGATGACGGCGACGACGACGTTGACGACCGACGTTGACGACGACGACGACGACGACGGCGACAGCGAGGACGACGGCGACAGCGAGGACGACGACGATGACGACGACGAGGGCGACGACGAGGGCGATGACGAGGGCGACGACGAGGGCGATGACGGCTACGGAGATGCTCGACCTCATCCTCAAGGCCTCCTAGTATTACTCTTCGTCCTGAGTCCGAGCTGGCTCCGACTTTGACATTCTCCTCCTCCG